CATGCACTTTCATACACAAATACAAGTTTTGGATATAAGGCACATCAACTGATTTGTAGTCATTGAGTTCGTCTTTAATTTGGGCCTCCTGACTTTTGTCATTTTCTTCTTTTTTGTTCAACAAAATAAAAGTACAATTAGATTAATTAGTAATTATTCAGTTTCTTGCCGGGCAGTGGTGGTGCACGCCTTTAATCCCAGCACTTGGGAGGCAGAGGCAAGCGGATTTCTGAGTTCGAGGCCAGCCTGGTCTACAGAGTGAGTTCCAGGACAGCCAGGGCTATACAGAGAAACCCTGTCTCGAAAAAAAAAAAAAATTATTCAGTTTCTTGTTTTATATTTTTTTAAGGTTTTATGACTCGAGTTTCACTATATTATAAGTAACTAGCACTGATTAGGTTGTGTTTTATTACATGATTTATTTTTGTGCATTTTTACTTTGAGAGATAAAAATTATAGATGCATAATTAATTATTGATAATATCTCTATATTTACCAGGTTTTCTTAATGTGTGATTTTTCTTACACAGATGATTTACAAGATGTAATAGAGAGAGCCATCCAGATTGGTGTTAAAAAGGTAACGTCTGAATTTTGTTATTGTTAAATTTCTTTGTTTTTAAAATAAATGTTAGTTAAAATGCTGCACAGTAACCGAGAAAGCCACTGGCACACACTGAGTGTCTAATCCATGTGTAATAGAAATAATAGAAATAGTTACTCTGTCACAGACAGTTATGTTGCACAGTCCTCAGGTATGTCATCAGAATGTGACAAGATCTGATAGAAAAAGTAAAACTACAGCAAGTGCTAGTCTTAAAGACAACCTCAATAAATGTTATAATCTCACTTGACGTGCGTTGGAAATATTTATCAAGCACATGCATGCGTTACCGTAGTTAGCTGTGGGTATACTAGTAGATAACAAGAAAACTCCTTACTTTTAACAGTCATAAAATGCTTACAAGTTTTTACAGTTCTAATAAGAAACTGAACATTAACTAGCTTATGTCAAATTGTTCAAATAAGTATTTCTTTAAATTGGTTGTACAAATGGCAGACAAGCCCACACATATGAGAAATAAAGTTATATAGCATAGTATCAATTCACTTTGTAGCTACTGCTTCTAAGTTAAACACCCTCAGTTCTAAAATGTGATGCTAGTTAAATAAACTCTGCAATCTCTAACCCTATATAGTGATTAGTCAGAAGTAATGAGAAAGGACCAAAGTTGTATGAACTTTTCATCATATGTTCACACCCTCATGATGAGTCACTTGTAGCTAATGCCTTCCTACAAAGGTATCAGGCTCCTGAATTTCCCCATGTCAGCAGGAGTACTTCCCTCATTTCTAATTGAGCACACAGGCATACGCGAGCGCGCGCGCGCGCAAACACACACACACACACACACAAATGCACACACACACACACATAAATGATAGACAGAAATAATAGGACAGAGGCAGAGTTCACTTGCACTTACTGAGTTCATTACCAGGAGTTATGTTTTATAATTAGAAGCATGGTTTGGCATCACAAATTTGGCTTCCAGCCCCCAGCTTCCTCCTTCATAGCTTTCAAACTTGGGGTATTCTAGATCTCATCCATAAAAAAATGGATGTTTTAAAAGTGTTTAAAACATTGTTGTGAGGGTTAAAGTAAAAGCTGCTATGAACAAGCCTTCATGATGTATGTGATGACATCATCACTGCCAGGTCAGGAAATTGCATCCTGGGAGAGAAGAGAAGCCCATGGCCAGCCTTGCCCTTGCTTTCTTAAGTTATACTGAGCTGTATATTCCCTGTATACAGCTCAGTGGCTGGTCACGCTCAGCGGCTGGTCACACTATGTTGATGAATGACAGTATCTGTTCCTCACACACAATTCCACCTTTGTTTTTATGCATTCTTTGGTGTATACCTACAATGAAATATCTTTACTTTAGCTTGGAGAGACTTAAAAGTATGTTTTAAAAATTACTCAGTGTCCTTAAATCACCCTTTAGAAACTATACCTTAAACTGCACTGTCTTGGTCGTCACCTTTGACACTGAGTTCTTTAATTCTGTCTGACAGATTAGTAAAGATGGCATTCTAACCATCGAGTGACTCTAATGGCTGTCTGAAGCATGCTGACTTCCCAAGAGCCATGAATTCCTTCATCACGACATTAATGTATCAGTTTTGGTTCTTAGAACCCCTCTGTTTTCTTTAGGATTATGGTGGACCCTCTCAAAAGCTCTTATGTGGGTTGTATGTATTATATATACTATTTTAGGAATTAAAGCAGAAATATTTTAAATATCAAATCATTTCAGAATATGACAAACTATAACATAAACAGTATATGTTAATGAGGAATACCAATTTTCCAAACAAACCTTAGCAGCAAGAAATTATGTTACGTCTGCCAAGTTTCTGAATTAAGAAGACTGCTGCGTTTGCATGCCTGTTTCTGGGATCAGTTTGTTGTGACACTGAACATCATTGTCTGGGTGACCTCCCGGTACACTTGAGGTTGGATGGAAGTGAGAAAGAAGAAAAGCCTGTTGGTATTCTTGCAGACGTAGTTTCACCTCCTAGACGTCCCAGCCCATACTTGGACCTGTAAATTACTGAACACTATTCAGTTCCTCATTTACATGATCATTGAATCGTTGACTTCAGTGAACAGAATTCTGACTAGGCAGGTCCTTAGCTATTTGTCTTCTATAACATATAAATCGCATCCTCAGGATACTTAGAGCTTGTCACTAGTAGAGACAAACAGGTAAATGTATGTCACTATGTAACACTGAATCCTGCGGGAGGGCGTGTGTGGACAGAAGTCAGGTAGCACTCTGTAGAGATGATCTTCCTCACGGATATGAGACACGGGAGTGGGGTGAACCACCTTGTGGTGAACTGGAGGGAAGGTGTTTGGTCCCTGGAAGTCAGCTTCTTTTACTTCTTGCCATTTCAGTTTATGATCACAGGTGGAAGTCTACAAGACAGTAAAGATGCACTGCAGTTGGCACAGACAAATGGTACCCTCTTATTCCTTTTACCAAAACAAATGTGAATTACTTAATTATGAAGAAGTCTTTCTCAGAACTACTTAAGGTATAAATGCAGTGAACTTGACATAGGAAAATAGACTGATTTTAGTGGAACATGCTTAAGATGACAAAGTTTAGAATACTCTTTGGTATTTCAGATGTCTGATAAAATCTTATAGTACTTGACATGATTATTATTTCAGAAAATAATAGTAAAGTTATCTACATGCATAACTTATCTTTAAGTCATTCTGATGTAGTGTTTTTATGTGCATATTTTAATGTTTGATAGGAATTGTTTTTATTTAAAATAGCTTAAGTTAAATTGAGAAGGATCATTGTTATTGAATATTTATTTTGTGAATCAGACTTTGTGTGAAGCTCCATGAGTTTAAGTAATATTATAATATACCACTGTAGGGCTAGAGAGATGGTTCAGCAGGTAAGAGCACCCGCTGCTCTTGCAGAGGACGCTGGTTCAGTTCCCAGCGCCCAGCAGCTGAGGGCATGTGGCATCCTCTTCTGGGCTCCATGGGCACACTCCTCAACACACACTAACACAATGAAAATATACTACTCTCTGGGTGCTTACTTCATGCTCAGACATTTCACGCTTATTTAAAATCCTAAAAGCTTATTTGATACCATGTAACTTTTTTTGTATCCATGCTTTGCTAGACACCTAGAGATTAGGCATTCCACGGAGTTTTTTCAAAATACAGCTGTTCCTTTTTTGTCTGAAACCTTACCAGAAGCTGTTTTTATAGCAATCTTTATAAAATGCATGCTCTCTTCAGGCTCCATTGACTCTCAATGTTAAAATCATGAACACGATCATCTTCCCAGGACTTTCTGAAGTACAGAGGGAGATTCTCTTCCATAGTCTGTAATCTCTAACAGCTGTGGTTTGAAAACCCTTCCCTGTCTTTATTATTGTTCTTCTTCTTCCTCTTCTTTAAAGAGCTGTCTACTGCTTCCTGTTTGTTACCTGTGTAAGAGCCTGGGGAAGGCTCTCTACCCTCCATGGGTTCCTGTTGAACTTCTAAGACAAAATAAAACTAAAAAACTTACTTTTTAGCTTAGAGCCCAACCCAGGGTGTTGCGTGGTACATATAAGAGCCAAGCACTCTAACACCGGCCCATTCTCCAGCCCTTCTGCTGTGTGTTTCTCACTATTAAAGCTAAAGTCTGCCTTCCAAATAGTGAGATATGTTTTGTTTTGTTTTGTTTTTTACTAGCAAAAGAGATTCCCCTTTCCTGCTCTTTAAGCCATTCCTACTATTAACCTTTTAAAATTTTTTGAAATTATTTTTATGGTATGCTTGTGTGTGTGTGTGTGTGTGTGTGTGTGTGTGTGTGTGCGCGTGCTTGCGCGTGTGCGTGTTTGCGCGTGCAGGCTGTACACATGAGTGCAATCGCCCACAAAGGCCAGAGATGTCAGATCCCCATGGAGCTGCAGTTACAGGCAGCTGTGAGCTGTCTGATACAGGAACCAAAGTTGAATCCTCTGCAAGAGCAATCGGCAATTTTCAAGTCTCTACTGCTAACCTTTTTAATGGAGGTACATTGTGGTTGTTATACTAAATATATGAATTATATTGTCATGTAAACAGTAAATATAAAAGATAAAATTAGGTTATTTTAAGAAATCATTTTACAGCTGGGTATGGTGGCACAGAGGCAGAGGCAGGCAGATCTCTATGAGTTCAAGGCCAGCCTGGTCTACAAAGAAAGTCCAAAATAGCCAAAGCTCTATTACACAGTGAAACTCTGTCTTTTAAAGAAAAAAAAACTTCTATTTTGAGATACTTGATAAATGGCTAGCTTTGGAAAGAGTTGAGTTGACTATTTTACTAATACATGAAGTCACTTTTTATATGCATATCCCATTTTCAACATATTTTTAAAAATGTTAGAACGATGTACATAATTCTGGAAATTTGAATTGTTTGTAGCTCCAAACATCAGTTGAAATTATGTCATATGTGATTCACTCATTTTTATATGTTAAATATTAACATGAATGAAAAATATTCTGAAAATAACCTAAGAAGCGTTTTTCTGCTAGACATGTTTTTCAGTACAGTGGGGTGTCATCCCACCAGATGTGATGAATTTGAGAAGGATAGCCCTGATAACTATCTAGCAGGATTGCTGAACCTTGCTGAGAACAACAAAGGAAAAGTTGTAGCAATAGGGGAGTGTGGCCTGGGTAAGTGCCAACCTCACCACTTAACAGTATCTTGAAAATAACTGCTTGTTATGTTCAAATCCCAAGTAATTATTATTCTTTGTCTTTAAAGATTTTGACCGACTTCAGTTTTGTCCCAAAGATACTCAACTCAAGTAAGGAAATTTGTTGACTTTGATTTTTATTTTTTCAAAATACCATTGATTGAACATGTAAGGTTAGATAACACAGTGTGTTTGTTTTCTCTGGCAGATAGCAACAGTTACATGAAACAAAGTCCATCCATATTTGCATGTAATCATAATCCCTAATTGATTAGCCATTGGATTTGATTTGAGTGGTGAAACAAAGGGATGCATTTTTATATTAGACAGACTTTTTGGTGAGGTGGCAACAGGTGTATTTATGCACAAACATTTATCCTTGGTTCACTGTAGTTTCTTATGGAAACTATATAAGAATCTGGATCAAATTATCTCTTAATAAATGTTGTCATTTATGGGAGCAGGCATCTATGCCACCCGATGCCACCTCAGGGACTTTCCACACCAGAGCTGCCCGGAATGTTAGAGATGTTGCGAGTGCTGCCTCTTGCACACCAGGGAATCAGTTCACCTGACCTGCAGAGTTCAGATTTGCACTGGGACAGAACCCATTGTCTTACCAGCTTCTCAGCCATTCTTGCACTGTACCAGAGTGAGCCCCCTGAGCCACAGACCGGCCAGCGTCGGCACATGACACATACTGCTGCAGCGCTCCACAGGATTGTCCTCCTCATGTGGCTTCTCTTCCAGAATAACTTAAAAGTGATTCTCAAATGCACCCTGAATATTGCAGACTCAAATTTTAGTTCCATGAAAGTACTGATAGTGTAAGTTCCATCTAATGCTCTGAAGATAACTTCCATTATCAGTGTTAGAACTCAGCATGTACAGCAGGTTATAGATTATGCTGTACCACACATCAGATGTCCAAGGGCCAGTCTGTAATAGAGATGACCTCAGTCTATCCTGTGAGGGATTGCTCAGTGCCTTTTCACTATGGTAAGATGTAGGCTTGGTTCTTTGGCCTTTATTGACAAGACAGCCCATAAGTGTAGTACGCTGGTAAGTGCTATCAGGAAGGTGTATGCACTTGAGGACTTGTGTTCACTTCCTACCACCACCATTAAAAGTTTAAAACGTGTATGAGCCGGGCGGTGGTGGCACACACCTTTAATCCCAGCACTTGGGAGGCAGAGGCAGGCGGATTTCTGAATTCGAGGCCAGCCGGGTCTACAGAGTGAGTTCCAGGACAGCCAGGGCTACACAGAGAAACCCTGTCTCGAAACTCCCCCCCCCAAAAAAAAAAACAAACAAACAAACAAACAGTGTATGGCTAGGGGATGGAAGGACAGCCATCTAGAGGCAGTCTAGGAAGCCTTCCTGAGCTGACAGCATAGCATAGACCTCCTCAAAAGAGCACACTCAGGAACAAACTGCAGTGAGAACATTGCTAAGATCCATCAGTTGGCACTTTTTAATTAGATTTTAAAATGTCTAAAGTAGTAATAATCTCATTTGGATTATTGTCAAGAAGACAGATACCCAAGGAACTCCTGTCCCACCTGGCCTTCCATGGCATAGGCTCTCCTCTTCTGTGTCCATCAATTTCAGTGTATTTACCTGAGTGGACTAAAGATAGGTGGTAGATTAGAATCTTCCAGTGTGTCGAAGGCACACAATGTGTCTGCTTTATGTAGTTCCTGTGGTGTCTAGTAAAGGTTTAATAAGGAAGAAGCCCCCCTCCCTCTCCTTCTCCCTCTCCCTTTATTTTATTTTATTTATTTATTTATTTTTGGTTTGGTTTTTTCGAGACAGGGTTTCTCTGTGTAGCCCTGGCTGTCCTGGAACTCACTCTGTAGACCAGGCTAGCCTCAAACTCTTGAACTCAGAAATCCACTTGCCTCTGCCTCCCAAGTGTTGGGATTAAAGGCATGTGCCACCACCACATGGCTCCCTCTCCCTTCCCCCCCCCCCGTTTCTTATATGGATAAAAGGGCTGTAATTTAATATTTGCTGTTGAACTTATTGTCGGAAGAATGTAGATCTTGGTCAGTTCTTTGTGTACATGTATGTGTGTGCATATGGAGGCCCGATGTCAATCCTGGTGTCATTGCTCAGGAGCTCTCCTCTTATTTCTTGAGACTGGTCCGTCCCTGGGCCCTGGGGCTGTCTTTTACATGGTTGCTGGAGATCATCAGGTACTCATGAGTGCATGACAACACTCTGCCCACCAAGCCACCTCCCCACGCCCTGCATCTAGGCTGGCTTTTTTTTTTTATTTTGATTTTTGAGACACTATCTCCCTATAGCCCAGGCTGACCTGGAACTCACTACATAAACTCACTGAAATCCTCCTGCCTCTGCCTCCTGAGTTCTGGGATTAAAAGCATGCACCACCACACCTGGCTTCAATCTACATTTTTGTAGCATTTTTGAAACATTAACCTACTATATGATTTTTTGGCTTTATAAAACACATTTTTTCCCTTTTTAAGTGTACAATAGGTATCGTGTGTGAGAAATGGTAAGTGGGTACACCTACAATGGAGTTAAAGTCTACTGTCCGCAGTGAGCAGGCCTGACCTGCAGTGTGATTTAGCCTTGCTAGTCCCTGCCTGTCCACATATACAGCCCAGTGCCCTCATTGCCAGCATAAGGATGCCCCTGCCCGCCGCTCTCCACTGCCCGCCGCTCTCCAGTACATGATGGGTAAAGCCCACGGTGGCATGCCTGGACAGACTGAGGATCAATAATTATGGCTTCGAAAGGAAATACTAGCTGTGGCTTATGAGAAATGTTTTAAACAATCCTACCACTGTGTGCGTATGTATAATGGAGTTAGAAGAGGGTGTCAGATCCTCTGTAGCTGCAGTTACAGATCGTTGTGAACCAGCATGTGGCTGCTGGGAACTGAATAAATAGTGCTCCTCTGCAAGAGCACCCAGTGCTCTTAACCACCGAGCTATTTCCCCATCCCTGAGAAGCGCTGCTTTAAAGAACAAGAATGGAAACAAGGAAAAGGCCTGACGTGGTTGTGGAAGGTTTGTCTTGAAGTATTTCCACTTCGCTGCCCTGTTACCTTCCTCCCCTGTTCTCTTGTGAGGGAGAAATTTGCTATGGGCATTTTTCTTGGGGCTTTAAAATGTTGATATTATATAGGTCTTTTTTTAAAAAAGCAAATTATCAGACAAGATTTCAAAATTATTCCGGGGCTACTTAGGGTACTTTGGAAAAGGATGGAGGCCACCCAGGCTGTCAGCCAGCTGGGAGACGCTCAGTGCTACTGAGTCACTCACTGTTTTGGAGTGCCTCAGTCCTCGCTTGTAACAGCTGCTCTGACACAGACCTTTTCCAGCTGTCCTTCCTGTTGTCCCAAGCTGTAAGAGAGCAGTGATTCAACTGAGGAAATTAGGTCTGATAAGATGCACAGATTTAACAAATTTTTAATTGCCAGTTCTGCTCTGGAACGTATGTTATTTGGTGGTTGGTTTTGTTTGTTTTCCTTTGAAAGATACCAGTTATTGGATGTTATATACCTATTATCCTCGATTTGTACTGTTGGAGTGTTTCGATTTGTTTTGCCACGTGGACATTTTCTTTCTTGAGATTCCTCTTTTATTTTTGTGAGGGAACATGCATGTCATGTTGTGCGAGTGGTGGTCCAAGGGCAACTCTGTGCACTTAGTTCCCGAGGCCGACTTCGGAGTGGGTTCTGGGAGGTGATCTCAGGTGCCAGCCTCTCTTCACCATGCAGCAAGTGCCCTTCCTGCTGAGCCACCTTACCAGCCCCCACACGACTTCTTAAACGAGTCATTGCTCTTAAGCACTGAGCCGCCTCTCCACATCCTCCTCTCTATCCCCCACCCCTAGTGACCTCTTAGTGATGTCTGTCTAGCTTGAACTTAGGGATCTTTCTTTTCTTGAATTACATAAAATTCTCAGGGCATAGTATATGTTATATTATATGTTATATTATATTTTTGGTTTTTCAAGACAGGGTTTCTTTGTGTATCCCTGGCTGTCCTGGCCCTCACTTTGTAGACCAGGCTGGCCTTGAACTCAAGACATCATCCTGCCTCTGCCTCCTTAGTGTTGGGATTAAAGACATGCACCACCCCTGCCCAGCATGTTTCTGTTCATTTTAGTGAATTATATCTTTGGCTATTCTGTGACAGAAAGCTACTTTCTTATAGAACTGTTTGGTAGTATAAAATTGTGACTTGGTCATGTGGCTGGGCCACAGAGTCATGCATGGTGACCACATGGAGGTCATTGCCTGTGGTGTGTGGCTGAAATGGTCATATTTACACAGTGACATGGCATACTAGATGTTGGCATGTGTACTACTTTAGTGGTTATGGAAAGGTGGCTAGTACTTCTTGTGTTTTGGGGTTTTGTTTCTGGTTTGTTTTATTTTGTTTTGTTTGAAACTGGTTTTATGTGGCCCAGGTTGGCCTCAAACTAATTGAATAGTTGAATATCACCTTAAACTTCTGATGGCTGTCTCCACCTTGCAGGTGCTGAAATTACAGTCCTGATCACCACACTTGCTTTCGTGCTGGAGATTCAACCCAGGGCTTTGTCCATACTGGGCAAGGACTCTGTCCATTTTCCCTGTCCCTAGCCACTACTAGTAATTCTTAATCTTTTCTTTCAAGGTTTTACGTCTTAGAACTTGCAAAATGACCTCACTTTAACTAAAACAAAATTACATTAGCTTATTCTAGCTCTACAGAATCTGAAAAGGTGATTTAAAAACACAAACATTAGTTAATAAAGGCATAGAGCACCAATGGGCATTGTGTAAATAAATTTGTAACCCTGGTAAATGAAGCATCCCTTTCTAGAAGTTAAGTGGCAGGAAAGAATCTGATATTTTTAATATCTGAAGTCACTGCTTTCGTATTGCTATTTCCAGATAATAAAATTCCTTTAGTCAAAATTTATTTGATATATGTCTTATGCTAAAATAAAAATTTTGGTGTGATAATTTTTTTTTTTTTTGCTTTGTGCAGATATTTTGAAAAACAATTTGAACTGTCAGAACAAACAAAATTGCCAATGTTTCTTCACTGTCGAAATTCACATACTGAGTTTTTGGGTGAGTTAAAAATGAAATATCATTACAATCTGAAAACTGCGGCAGTTAGGCTACTTGTCTGAATTTTCTTTTGAATTCACAGATATTATGAGAAGAAACAGAGACCGGTGTGTGGGCGGAGTGGTAAGTGTACAGTAACTGTTTAAATGTGGGATATCCAAGAATGTCTCTGTTACTAAGGTTGGCCTCAGCTACTTCAGATAGCAAAAGTAAAGCTATTGAGTCTCTTAGTTAGAAGACATGTAAATTTGCTGTAAGGTTTATGGGCCAGATGTTATACAAAAAAAATAATACTTGTACTTACATTTCTTTTATTTAAAGTACAAGAATAAGTACCAAATTCTACTTCCGAGAAACAAGTGTGAAATTTCTTCTCTCACTGTACATTAATCCTGAGAGCTGTCCTTTGGTGCTCTCCTTAAATTTTAAAGGAAACATAAACCAACGTTTATGATGTCTTAAAATATTCCACTGTTTCTTTCAGGTTTCCTTTCCTAATGTGCTAGCTGGTAGTCACTCTTTTCCCTCTGATGACGGCTCATCCTCCAAGATGTATTCCTCTCTTAAATGTTTCTTGTGTGGTCCTTTCAGTCCTTACTCTTGAGACATTTCCAATATATATTCTCTACTGCCAGGCACTGTGCTGTGCTATCTGTGGTGGTGATTTCTTGTCAGTTGGATCATGGGCTCAAGTAGATAATCTGTTTAAAAATGCTCACATATACAAAACTTCATAGACAATTTCAGGAGAGGTTCAGTGACCGTCTTCTGGGGGTAAAGATTGTTATTCAGGTATTTAAGCCACAGTTCCATGTGCCAGTGAAGGAAAGTTGACATAACACTACATTTCTGCTGTAATACATTGCTTTGCTTGGGCACTTTTACATATATTCCTTTTTGAAATGTTGAGGAACACAGGTGTGCTTTTTATTATATTTTGTGTGTGTGTGTGTTTGTGTGTGTGTGTGTGTATGTGTGTGTGTACATAGATACATATGTGCCATGTGTTTGTGGAGGTCAGAGAATAACTTGCAGAAGCTGGTCATCAGGACTGACCAGGCTCAGCACCTTCCCCCAGTCAGTCATCTTGCTGGCCGTTGCCGTCCGTTTCTTAGGGCTTTCTTTGCTCTGCTTGGTGCTGCATCCCACTAGCGATAGGTCTATGCTCTGTATTGCTGTCATGTTCATGTTACTTTGCACATCTCCTCTATAGTTTACTGACTCTGTCATTTTCCCTTTAGCAGCTATACTTAGGAATTGAGAAAGGCTTTAATTACTGTCCTGGGCATTACTGACGGCACTGATTGTAGTTAACATCCTGGGCATTACTGATGGCACGGATTGTCATTCTGGACTCCATCGCTCACTCATCTTTATTTCTAAATAAGACTTTACTTGGATGAGTCTATAATTTCAAAAAGTTAATCAGGAACAGCAAAGGCAACCAAAATGTTTGGCTTTAATAAAATACATTGCTAACTAAAGTACTAATAAATCGGTCTCTGATTTGGTTTATAAGAGATCACATTATCTTTATATTAGTGAAGGAATTTTTTTTGTTGTTGTTCACTGGAAATGTTGAGAGCTTAGCACCTTTACCAGTTACTGACTCTCATGTATTTTCCAAGGCTTTCATCTGCTTGGTGTTACAAATCTTGCAAGGAGCATACAACATAGTTATCCATGGACAGTAGTGATGTGACTTCATTGCCAAAGGAGCCCTACTGTTAGTTATTGGTTTTCATTACACACATACACCTAACGCAGGAGAAAATAAGGTAGCAGTCCTTTCCCTCTCCCTCCTTCCCTCCCTTTCTCTTGTCCCCTCTCTTTCACACACACACACACACACACGCCAGAAGCGGGCATCAGATCCCCAGGAGTTGGAGTTACAGGTGATATCGAGGTGCTCAGTGTGGGTGCTGGGAACTGAACTCTTGCAAAAGCAGCAAGCACTCTTAACTGCTGAGTCATCCTTCCAGGCCGCAGCTGGCAGTTTAAAAGCAGTCTCCTCAGCACTGTATAGAGCTTCTGAAAACTTACCTCTTACTGAGTAATCATTTCTAAAAGACAAGTATCCTCTAAAAGAGAGGTGCAGTGGGATTTTCAGAATATCTTAAATATTAATATGTCCCAGACCATTCTTCCTCCTGTGTAAGAATATGGCCCCTTTCCTGTGTCCTTCTGAGAGACTGTAGGGAGGGTAGAGACACACCTAGCTACAGAGCAACCTTAGGCAAATGACTTCTTGCTTTGTGTCACCAGAAATAATGACAGATTGTGATTATCAAGTCTGGTTTGAAAGAAAAACACTATAGGTGCTACCATATTAAAAAGACCTGTGAAACACACAGAGTTTTGTTTAGAAAATAGACCAATGCTATTGTGGATTTTACTATTATAATAAAATTGTATGTATATCTCCCTAGGTGCATTCATTTGATGGTACAAAGGAAGCAGCAGCTGCTTTGATTGACTTGGACCTTTATATAGGATTTAATGGTTGGTACGTTCTCACAGTGTTTTGGTTTTCCTTAATTTTTATATTATCGGATTCTTTAAGTTGGCTTTTTAAGAGTTTGCTTTTACTACAGTTTGTATGTTTTGCATTGATCTTTGGGAATTTTACTAACTACTTATGAAGAAACTGACTAGTAGATTGTTCTCCGTCGTTACACATTATTACGGTGTGTTCTGATATGTTGAGGCCAGCAGGTCTTTAGCATTCCGGTTTGTCCTCAGGCTATCTCGTGCCTTTCACAGATACATGTTCACAGCACTGTGTGTGATGCTGCAAACATGCTGGCCATGGGAAAAGAGCATTCTGTGGCAGCCATCTGTGTATTTCTTAGGCCACAGAAGTTAGGAAATAGGTGTAAAGTTAGCCCGAGTGTGAGAACCTGTCCTCTGGGTCACTGCTCAGTGACCTTTCCTCTGTAACTCCACACTAAACCTCCAACCTCCTCACAAGTCAGCCAGCACAGCGAGGTCCTGGCCTTGTTTTCTGTCAGACATGTTAGCGTTTTCTATAATTGTTTCCTTAGGAAGTCAGTGATGGTAAGTTACAGAACAGACTGGCTTTCCCTCTTCAATGTTGCCCTTACAATGATCACTGGTGACCATATATAATTCTTAGGGAAACAGAATGTTGGCATTGCTTATTCTTATAGATATATCCCAGGATTATCCTAAGTAATGGTCAAACATACACATCCTGAGAGAAGCAGTTACTGCCTCCTCCCCAGCATGCCTCTGTCCCAGTCAGTTTTTGCAGAGACAAGTGCTTGGGTATCTGTTGCTATACATCTGTGTAACATATATTCCTAGCTCTGACATCTCCCTTTGTCTATGTCCTTAAGACCCACACCATTCTGACCCCATTTCATTTCATTGTCCCCTGTCTGCCTTCCATTACGATGTCAGGACTCTGGGTTATGTGTGGTTGTCATTGTTTTTGTATTTCCTGCTGCCCATGTGGTGACCCATGCTCACTTCTCATGTGCCATTTTTTGATTTCTTGGAGTCACTGGCCTCGTATTTCCTTGACTTCAAAACATGAAGCACAGGCAGGCACAGTGGCTCAAGCCTCTAATCTTAACACTGGGGAGGCTGAAGCAGGAGGATGGTGAATTAGAGGTTGGCCTGGCTACACAGTGAGTCACTATCGATTTCTATAGCTCCATGCAAATGCCTTACTTAGTTTTCTCCATGAGGAAGTCTATTTAGATAGTGTTAGTTCCGGGCCCTTCTGTTTGGACACCTGTCTCCTCTGTGATAGAACCCCATAGTCTTATTTCTCGAGTTCTCATGCATTCTGCTGTGGGTTTTGTTGTGTGTAGATGAGGCTGGCTGTAGACTCTGTAGACAAGGATGACCCTGGCTATCCCTGCTGCCTCAGCCTCCTGTGCTGGCATTACAGATGGTAGCCACCATACTATTGCGTTTGGTTTAGTGAACTGTTTCCTAAGGAAATGTTCATGAAAAGTAACTTTTTTTAAAAAAAGATTTTTATATATTTGGAAATGGATTTACTTTATTCTTAGAAGTGTGCTTGGATAGTTCATGAAAGAAATGGGAACCCACTTTTGATTCTCTAGAGGTGGGCTCTAATGCTGGTGACATTTGATTGCCACTCAGCCTTATCCTGCTACTCTGCTACTGTCCCCAAACAGCTGGAGCCTCTTTTTTTTTTTTTTTTCTTTTTAAATCACTCCTGGGACTAGCCTTTTTCTTTCTCCCCACCCCCCTTTTTTGAGGGGGACAATTCAGAATTGGTAACTGATATTATCTTTTCTGTAATTTCTATTTCTACTTTATCACCTTATAAAATTTGCTTATTTTCAACTTTTTAAGATGAAGTATATTCCAGCTTTCATTTCTAGCTCTGAAGTTCTCTCATCTAGCACAGTCTTGACAGATGGAGTGCCTTCTGTCTGAAGACACTATAGTCCGAAGTCATTTTGTATTTGGTTGCTTTTATCTTGGTTCTGTTTCCCTCACGTGGTTGGTCTCTTTTGATGGGGACTTTCTTCAAATGGCAGGCAGTCCTTATAGCTGGACATAGTGGCACATGCTTATTTTACCCTGAAGCTGAAGCAAGAATTTAAAAGGCCAGCCTCACTTACAAGGCAAGTTTGAGGACAGCCTGGGCTATATAAAATCTTGTCATAAACAACTTTTTGGAAGCTCTAGGTAAGTCAATCAACTTGCAGGTTAGATCACAGCTGGACTTCCCCGGAGGTTCTCACACAAGCTTTTGTAGAGACCTTTTTGGGGGTTGATCTTTTTCTAGAAGGGTGCCCTGTGATCTCTGCTAGGAATCTGTAACTGTGCATGGAAGTGTTCTGGAACAGAGTGAGCTAAGAGGGGACTGTAGTTCAGTCTGCATCTTTAATCCCACGTTCTTGCTGTGCTGAGTGTCCCCTGTCCCATCCCTGTGTTTTCTTCACTCATCCTGAGTCACAGGTAATCTGTGTCCCTCCTCATCTGTCTAAAGCGCTCCAGTCCCCATTCCCTGTCCTAGTTCAGCACCCTAGGCACCCACTTCTGCGCTACTGCTCAGATCGACATGTTTGCTAGTCTCTTTCTGGACCTTTAACATTCATGTCACTTAGCACTTAAAAGATATTAATCATTTCTCCTTTCATGATTAGCTTGATTAAAATGTGTTGGGGTAACAGGCATCTACTAGTTTCACCGAAAAATGTTGGATGCAGTGATTATCAAGGAGCAGTAAACACATCAGTGTTGCAGGATCAAGAAAGTAGGCGAATACACACAGCACGTAGGATTGGTAGGCAGTGAAACTACGTTGTAAGAGATATGCTGTCCCACAGAGCGTGAGCCAGGGGTGACCACCATTACAACATGGGCTTCGGAGATGTTGATGTGTGTGTCGGGGTGGGTTTGTCAAGTCTAACGCATGTACGCTGTGTTGGGCTTTAGTGTGTGGGAGGCTGTGCTTTACATAGGGGAGAATGAGAAGGGTGTGTGATCTCTTTGTTCAGTTTAGCTATGGACCGAAAATAAAATTGTTCTAAAATGTCTTTACAGTGAATTTGTGATTTTTTTTTAAATACAAGAACAATACTTCTCATTACTTTGAATACTGATTCTAAAATTTGGTAGAAATCTAAAGCATTTACATTCCCACTCGTGTCTTGGGTGAGCTGGGTCTGCCCATGTTTTCTTTCTGGGTACCTATCTGACACTGCACAAGCATGACAGCATCCTGTTCTAACCACAGAAGGCTCACCGCTTATGGCCATGCCATCTCGTTATCCCAGAGCAAGGCCTGGGGCCAAGGCCACATTCAAGGACTAGAGTGTCCATGGGCAGTGAGGGTGCAGATATGTAAGTCTGTTCTAACAGGACAACAAGGCCGTAGAAGCAGTAGTAGTCTGCTACAGTGGCTGAAAATAAATTTAAAAAGTGAAAGTTAACAGCCTCCTGATCATTCTAAGTTATACAAATAACTTTTTGTAACTTAAAACTTTACTTATGCTAATAAAGTTTATTTAAATGTCAAATGGTATGAAAAATGATATCCTAAAAGCATGAATATTCAATATGCCACGTTCTAACTCCGTTGTTACATCAACCTCTTTACATTAAAGAAGTATCTGGGAGCTGGGCAGGTGGCTCAGTGGTTAAGTGTACCTGCTGCTCTTTCAAAGGACCTGGATCTACTAGTCTCTGTCATTCACATGACACTCATACACAGTGTGCATGCAATATGCATACAATGTGTACACCTGTATGTGCCTACATACATAAGTAAAAATAGTATTTTTTTATTTTAAGGGACAAAAGTAGAGGTTGATTTGAAGTTGACCATAATGGGTTCTGTAAAGGTTAAGAATATATTCACTAAATATTCTTTTAAAATACTGTCTCCAAGCTCTCTGAAAACTGAAGCTAACCTGGAAGTTCTGAAGTCAATACCTAGTGAAAAACTAATGATTGAGACAGGTAAGTAGAAGATTCCAGAAATTCAAGTTCCATATTGAATCTGATTTTTAGAGGTTATTATTGATGGAAAAGTAATTACACAGATTATTTTCAGTTTGGCCAAAGCTCAAAATTTATAAAAGATGACAGACGCTGCTAACTAGAGTCTGTATTTACGACTGTTTAATGGGTCCCCTAAGCAGTTTAACAAGGGCTTTGAGATACTCTTTATAGTGGCTTAATTCTCTAGCCCTCTACAAACAAATAGCAGCAATTGAAATCAAGTGCTGTAGTGTAAGGACTTTAGATTGTCATCTCTTAAAATAAGTTTAAAAGCTAGTACTCTGACCCATCCCCCGTAACTCAAAGGACTGCAGCTTTAAGTCTCTATACTGAGCCACTCTAGGGAAATTAACTATTTCCTCAGGCAGTCACAAAAGCGACTGTACTGGAATTGCAATGCCTCTGTAATGGGCAAGCTGATGTTCGAAGAGAAATGACGGGGAAGCAGCTCAGTGGCAGAGCACCTGCCTGGTATTCTAGTCCCAACACTGGGAACAAGCTCGTGTTCATGGCCACGCTTTCACACGTAGTAGAAGCAATGCAGAGCAGTCTTAATGTTGGAGTGTGTCAGTGACACTTCTTGTACATTTAGGTCTTTTTTCTTAAAGCATGTCATACACTAGCCAATTTAGATAAAAATTAGTCTTTAAAGTGTAGGTTGGGATTTTATGCTTTCCTTAGAACTGTTTTCTGTTGCATTAATTTTTGTAATTTTACGTTATATACCGATGTGATGTTCATGAAAAAGATTTAGAAAAGTAAATTCCTTAACACTTTTTCTCCCTTTCCCCTAACTCTAGATGCACCTTGGTGTGGAGTTAAAAGTACACATGCTGGATCAAAATACATTAAAACTTCATTTCCTACCAAAAAGAAATGGGAAAATGGATACTGTTTAAAAGATAGAAACGAGCCCTGCCATATAATGTAAGTTGTTTTGCTTGAGTGGACTTCACGGTTGTCAGAGATAACTGCTGACTGCCACTCAGAGAATGGAGGGCAGAGTGGAAGCTCTCCGACATCCGCTCAGGTTCAGGTTAGTTCATAGGAGTTAGCACTGTGCTTAGTGATAAGCCATCCATTGGCACTTGACCCAAAGTCAAAGACCATTTGAATAGTGGTTTGGAAATATGTGCACCTGAACTGCTGTGTCATCCTGGGTTCCCATGTTCTTAATCCAAATGATTTTACTGTCTCAGTGAGAAATCTATGGGTCTGGTCCTTTGTCATTTTGTAGGAAAAGGAAAAGACCTCAAAGCTTACCACAGAAGTGTTGTACTGCACCCTTCCTTCTACTGTTTATAACTAGTTGGCTGACATTTAACCATGACCTGATGGTTATCTGCATATTATATATGGACAACAGCAGCAACCAGGGAGGTAACATAGTTCTCTAAACCTCACAATAAAATAACAAGTGGTAACATGTCCTTTCGCCCCTGCCCCCAAATGCAGTAATCCAGAATAGGATATACGTAGACAGTTGTGAAGAATCTCTGGGCAAACAGGAAAAGCTGGACAGATCATTTTATGGGCACCTATCCAGAAGAAATCTGGATTATATTGGATTAGTGCAGTTTGCCACTATGGACTTGCCCCTAACATTTAGAAAGTTTCATATCACAGATTGTTTCTGTTAAGAGTGTAATGTCTTGAAATATGCCTTTAAAAAAGTACTTTGTAATAAGTAGAGTATAAGGCAGATCTCAGATTCAGCAGCAGAGAAGTCAGTTGAGTGTCCTTTTATATACATATTTGGGTTTTCTTTTATTTAACATGTGGTTTTGGCAAAGAGTTTTGAACTGACACACTTTAAAGCCTGAGGCAAGGACTCTTTGTACTGCTTGCTAAAATATTTTTCTTCTTCTTTTTTTTTTTTTTGAATGGAGGAATTTGCAGATTCATCTAGAAGACATTTTTTTTTTCTCATAAGTCTTAAGGGGACACTAGAGATCCTGAGACAGTAAAGACAAGAAGCTGTTATTTTTGCCACAGCCACTTGGCAAACACACTAGTGGAGGCTGTAGTGCCAAAGTATGTTTTCTGTATGCTTTAATGCTTGTAAACTCATAGCTTTTGGCTTTACCTGTAAATCTGCAAGACAAGATTTCAAGTAGTTTTTAATGCAGTCTTAAGAACTGAAAGCATGTGTATCAGCCCGTCCTGCAGTTAGCTAAATGGCAGAACTTGGGAAAAAAGTCAGCATATGCTAGCTAAAGGGTGTTAACGTTTCAGATCTGTTCTGCTACTTATAACTTTTGCCAACTTCTACTCCAATAAGTTTTCCATCTTAACTGTTTACTTGCAGGTCTTCTTCCTTTAGACTATAAATTTCTTGAAACACATTTTGGGGCTCCTGCTGTGTCAGGAAAGGTGCAAGTTACTGAGGCTAGCTAAGAGAATCAGTTGTTATGCTCACACACCCAGGAAGAACTGTGCCAGGAGTTTTGGATAAGAAGCCTCTGCTCCCTGGAGCAGCCAAGCAGATACAGTCTACGACAATAAGCTGCTTCAGAGTGTCACTCTAGACTGGGACCTTGGAGTTAGCAAGTGTCTGCCCAGAGTGCACTAGGAGCACTCTGCCAGTGTAGAATTTTAACTGTTCACTAAGCGTGACTGGGAGTCAGGTCAGATGAAGACAAACACCTTGAGCAAATGCAGCTCGTAGAAGAGCTCAGCAGTATCAGGGAAACAATGTACTTAGTGTAGCAGAAAGTAGGATGAGGTGAGTGGAGGAGAAATCTGGGACAGCAAAGTGAGACCAGATCCTTGGGGCTCTTGTTTGCCAGCCTTACTAGTATAGATTTCATCATGACCTCAAGAGACTAAAAGCAAGAGAATCGTGATTTTTGTTTGAGCCAGGGTCTCCTGTAGCCCAAGCAGCTTACAGGCTGCTGTATAGCACTAGGTGACCTTGAATCCCTAACCTCTCCTTCTGTCTCTCAAGTGATAGGGTTAGTCTTCATAGTCACCATGTCTATGTCCACTTTTTTTCAAGAGATGAAGAGACTTTAAGACTTTATTTAATAGCGCATGCCTTTAATCCCAGCACTTGGGAGGCGGAGGCAGGTGGATTTCTGAGTTCGAGGCCAGCCTGGTCTACAGAATGAGTTCCAGGACAGCCAGGGCTATACAGAGAAACCCTGTCTCGGAAAAAAAAAAAAAGACTTTATTTAATTCTGTACCTAGTATAAAGATCTCACAGTAGGAGCTAGAGAGATGGCTTAGAGACGAAGGGCACTTGGAGAGAACCCAAGTTGTGTTCCCACCACCACATATATCGGGTAGCTCACAACCACTTATAACTCCAGCTCCAGGGGAATCTGATTCTTCTGGTCCCTGTGCTCATGTATGTACATGTGTATACATGTACACACACACACTCACACACACACAAATTGGAAAAAATAAAACAAGCTGAAGTGTCACAATACCTCAGAGTGCTATACTTAAAAATTTAACTGCAGCTTTATTCCTGAAAGTACAGAAAAATCCACTCAATAAAAAAGGGCTGCCCAGGTTGCTGGGTTGGCTTACTAAACAGAGTGCTTTACCAAGCGCCGGTGACGTCAACAAGTCTGAATAGTAAATGATTCTGCTGCCCAAGTCTCAGCAGAGCAGCCATGCCCTTGGCTACCCTTCTGTCAGCAGCAGCTTTACTTACAAATGCAGTCTGAGTTCACTGCACAAACTACATTTGAATGTCTGTGTCACACTGAGGACGACTTCTAAGATCCAGCTAATCGTAAATCCCCATTTCTATTTATTTTGGATATTCAGTTAGGATCCTCATAAAGAGAACAAAAAGCTCATGACAAAGAACATTTAAAGGTTGAACTTGAACTACAACTTTCTAATCCATGTATAAAAACAGATAGTACTGCTAGGAACCCACTGCTGTTGATCATTTTGAGCAGAGAAAGAGGAGCCTCTGGGCTCTTCTCTCTGCTCTGAGTACAAGTCTAGAGCCACTCCCTCTATACTGTCATGTATTTAGCGTGCACACAAACATTCCTTGCTGCCCGATAGAGACTAGGTCAATAAGCAGTGCCTTTCAAATTTTTGGTCCTATTCTCCCCAAAACAATCATTTTATTAATATTACATATAATATAAATATTTATATAGTTATACTAGTAATAGTAAAACAAATAAATATAAATAAAACTAAATCCAAAGTAGAAAGGTGCTTACTTAAGCCTGTTTTACGTGCAGTATACATTTCCCTTTAAGATGTTCATGATCCAGAACAAATGTGCTATGACCTAGAGTTTTAAAAGGACGCCTACCCTCCCGGACAGTTCCATTAGTGCTGCACTTACATGACCCTATAGCTTTATATTCAAGTTAAGTCCAGAGTCTTCTCATTGACAGTAATTGGTTATGCTTTCCTACGGGTATTACTGACAACTTTTGTAACTCTTAAACCTCCCTAGAAGAGGTACTAGTATAAGATCTTCTCTCACATAGGAAAGGTGACTATATACCTCTAACAATATATTCAAAGTAAGCTGATGCCTTGTTTTTTGTTTTAGTCAAATACTGGAGATAATGTCATCAGTAAGAGAAGAAGATCCACTGGAATTAGCCAACACGCTATATAACAACACCATTAAAATATTTTTTTCCTGATTTGTGTTTTCTTTTTATGATGTGGAATTTCATACTAAGACTTTATTAAAGAAATCTTTCCAGTAGTAATCTAAAGAGGTAGCACTATATATTCCACCTCTCTCCTACCCATCAAGTCAGATCAGCACTGTTTAGGCTCTGCAATGCCTTAGTTAACAATGAAAACCTTTTTATTGTGTAATCTCATCAGAAGTCTGAAAGGACAGTTTTATGCTCTCACTGCAAACACAGTGATGCTTCTACCTAAGACTTAGACAGCATGTCCTGGTTTATATCAAAGTTTAGTTGATAACAAGCCTATTTCTCAATTCTGTCCCTGATTTGTGACTTTTGAACCTAGCTCTAAGCTGCACTGTTTCTCAGTTGCTTCTAGCAGATTATCTTGCCTTAGTTTTAAAAACATTTTACAGCCTTTCTACTCAAGATTATGTTATCTCCCTGTCTCTTACACTAACTTCCTTTATTCTGCATCTTCATTTTCCATTCACTTTAAGGAAAAGCTAGAGTCCAGCATTACATATATTCCAACTTCATGGAGGAATCTTTGGCACAGTTGACGCACCGTATGATCATTATCTCTATTAAGAAGTTATTTGTTCAAATTTTGTCATAAAAACGTGAAAACATTTTATTCTATGTACAATAATGTACACAAATTTAAATAGGTCACCAAAGAGACCAGAAGTAATTAAAGAGGTATATTTACAGTAGCACATCACAGTAAACGGAAAAGCATTCACAGTTTCAACATCGATACTGTTTTTGTGCTTGGTTACACACTGACGTGAAGCATATTACTCCATTTTGGATGAACTGAATTTTAAACAAATACCTCAATGATTAGTAAATGCTACTTTAATCAGTGTCATCATTAAATTCTGCTGCTGCTGCTGCTGCTGCTGCTGCGCCTGTGTGCTGAATCCCCCCGTTTCTTTCTCTCTGAGTATCATCATCACAGTCTGTACTGTCATCCTCGTTCAATTCTCGGTCAGATCCAGCAGCATCTTCTCTTAAAGCTTCCTCTGGGTTTGGATTTTCATTGGGTGCAATAAATCCATTGTTGTTAGATACATTTGAGTTATCCTTGATATCATCTTCGATGTACACTTTCTGATGGCACATTGGACAAGTGTCTTGAATGTACAGCCATTTCCGAAGACAGAGTGCATGGAAATAATGGTTACACGGCGTAATGCGGGCAGACGTTGTAAACTCGTGATAGCAGATCGCACATACATCGTCTATCTCTTGCAAGTGGCTCCCTTTTATTTCAGGAAGTGAATTGATTTTCTTAACAGCAGTTCTACGATTCATGAATGTCTTCCAGCCATTTTTTACTTGTAAGTAGATGTTAAAATATGCATGTAGGCACATCATACAAGCCCGAATTTTACTTCCTGACTCAAACATCATGGTATAGGCCCCATTCCCAAACATTACTACTCCAAATATAAATTCAATTATATTGCCTGTCGAGCGAACACAGTAGACGTAGTCATCAAGCTTCTCCCAGAGGACATTATAGTAGCCGTCAATCATGAACAGCGTGTAGACGGTGAGGGAGACTATCACTTTCAAGCAGAGTTCCACACAGAAGGCTGTAACTGCAAACAGCCATGTATTTAGTGCATAGTGATGCCAAAGAACATAACTGAGTAAGACAGGAAGGATGAATAGGCAAGCAGAGACAAACAGCACGGGGAAATGTCTATGGAAAGATGACACGTGGGAGGCACTGAGAGACATTAATACGGGGTCTGTCATTCCATGGATGAAATGCAGGACTGCAGTTAATAAAAGGCACATGTTTCTACTTAAGCGAATAAGTCTCTCTTCAGGTCTCAGCCCACTTAAACCAGTCTGAAGAGCCAAAATGAAAAATAAAACAGGTGCTACAAAGCCAAGTCGCCTGTCATCTTCTTCAGTTGATCCAATAAAGGCCAATATTCCAAGGCCCAAATAATGGGCTATTGAAGAAATTACAGCACTCATGCCTAGTACAGTTAGTGTAGAATCGCACCCACTAATTATTAGATTGCAAATGACGTCCCAGAAATCATCCCAAGAAATAAAAAAGGACTCAGTTTCATTTGCCATCCTTAAAATGTACATTAACACTGTAGCCTGAGCTGTAATTCTTGTTAGCCAGAAGACCCGAAGTATGTCTGGGAAACGAATCCTCTTCCATGTGTCCTCCATCAGCAACTGTAATCCATAAATTCGGTACATATGCCTCACTAACAAGTAAACATACCGAGTAGAATAATAAAACCACTTAAGTTTCACTGCCAAGACAAGCACTGTGTTAAATATGAGAATCAAGGAAGACATGAAAACTAATGTCTCTCTGATGTGTAATGGTAGCTCTGTGATTAAGCCGATTACAGGAACCAAGATATTCAAAATAATTAACTGTGAATAGATGGACTGAATCTGGAGCAGTGTGACATATCCAATTCCAAAGGTTAGCTGCAGAACAATGAGTGCCATCCACAGTGAGGGCCCTTTCCGAGGAAGCAACTCGATTCCAAACGCTGACGTGTTGTAGGCACCATAGAAGTCAATGTGCAAAGCAGCATAGTAATTCACCAACACTGAAGTTGCAGCTAACAGAAAGGCTGAGCTGTACATGTAAAACTTGAAAAGTGACCGCTGTGACAAGATCAGAACAACACTGGATACAACTATACCTAAGGAAAAGAGAGAAAAGGTATGCAAATGAAATTTTGTAAGCATGTTTTTAAACTAGCAATTACAACTTTCTTCCTTTATTATGCTATTTTTGTAGTTGTAAACCTCAAGACAACTTAGGTTTACAGGGCAGTAAAGATTTGAGAAGTCAGAGTTCTAAACCAGACCAACTAAACACATTTTTAAAACCTTGGCCCCTTATTTTCTGGTTTCTAAAGTAATTCTGCTTGTCATGGTATATATACATCCATACATGAGATTACTAAATTATCTTCAGGACAAAACTGTAATGATATACATGCACCTTTTGATTAAGTTTTTAGACTCAAAAGAATACTTCCTATATAATTTCATAATCATTAAAAAGTTAATGTAATACCACCAAAATAATAAGGCCATTCAGAATGAAAATTACTAGACTGAAAGGCCTGTTCCTACTTGGTTTCAGAATCCTTTCATCAAGTGTTCTTTAGACAAGGGGAAGTTTTAAACTTCACCCTATTACCTCCTCTTCTTCCAGCTGAGCTCAGCAGATTCTTTTTTAGATATGCATATTCTCTAAGGATCCCAACTCAGGCCCCCAACACAAATCAAGTTCCCTTTTCCTACAAATTGAATCACATCTTCAGATAACAAAAGTAACACTCAGAAAACCAAACCATGTTTCAAAAGAAGGCTGGCTCTAAGCATCATTCCCATTATTCCATGTGTAAGTCCTGTAAATGGTCTGATGATCGCTATCAAGTGCCATCCAGCATATGCTGTTCATCCAGCATACCTACAGAACTTATGACATACCTATGTACATACATACTACCTGATGCTGAAGTTTGGAATTATCTAGTTATCTATCACCCCATTACATAGTTCTGTCCCTGCAGTATAAATCAATGGGTTGCACAATGCTTTATACAAAGAAAGGTTATTGGAGCAGTGTCTCAGTACCCTATGTATTATGCTTAAAAATGATCACAAAATACAACCTGAGTAAGGAACCTAGGAAAGTGAGAGACAGCTAAGAAGCCAAAAACACTTGAGTAGCTTTCCCTTCAGTGTGACACAAAGAAGAATGCTGTATTTCACAGCCTGCGCACAGTTTAAAAAGGAGTTCCTTTAAGGGATTATCCTGTGCCTAAACACCAGGTCCTTTGTGAAAAACAAAAACAAACCAAAAAAAACCACATCTGGAAATCTAAGTAAGATCTACCAGAAAATGAGACTGCTTGGAGCATTATTTCTGGAAAAGGAAAACAGTACTACTTAGCGTGCAAGATACCCAGATGCTATCTAGCTTTTTCTACATGGAAATACTCCAAGCCTAACTCATCTTCTAAGTTGAGTTCTATTTTATGGCACTTAAAGGAGAGAAAGTAAAGCAAGGACCAAAATGCTGAGTGGCAACTTGCTATTCAGAGTATCAGTCCTCACCATCATGACCTTAGCTGACCTTATAAAAGTTTTTTTTTTTTAAACCTAATAACTTTTTCTCTGAATCTTAGTTATACACACAAGTAGAGGCATGTGTTGGCTATTAGGAATGCTGTACAAAACCAAATGCCATCTGCTATATGTATGTACCAAATGAACCAGCTGGGAAATGGTAGGAGAGAGCAGGTACTGCCACTGTAACCTCTGAGTCTGGATATGGTCCAACAAGTGATCTGATTCTTCCTTCCCTCCATTCAAATCAGGACCTCACTTTCTAAATACTCAAGCTGGCCCCAAACCTGTACCTGCCTCAGCCTCTTACTGCTGGACTGTAGGCACAGGCCATCACCGCTAGCTTCACACTACTATTCCCTAAGGAAAACTACATTCTCAGTGTAAAATCAGTAAACACTCCAAAAGTAGCATACACTTGTAATTCCCACACAAAAGCTATAGACAGATCTTTTATAACCATGTACTTATGGAGGAATATGGGGAGAACCAACTCTCACTTTACAGGAAAAAAAAAAAACAAACAAAAAAAACAACTCCCAAACTAATAAGTCTCCAAAGTAAATGTCCTTTCTGGTGATCTTTGGGAACCACTGTTCAGGTTTCTTTGCATTCCACAGCTGAGACATGAGGTTTTTTTCTTAGGGTCCATCTTAAGGGTCCAAGAAAACCCAGGGGTAGTTTTTATTAGGGCTTATAAGGGGCCTGCTTTCTATTAAAACAACACCTTTGGACACAGAAAGAAAATTGAATTAAACTACAACCTGGGAATTTCAGTCCTAGACTCCAGAATAATTTGGAATGTTGTAAGTTCTCAAGGCAGAAAAAGAACCAAGTATCAAAATCTATTCAGGAACTTTGAATTCATATGTGAACTGAATGCACCAAAGAGTTCAGGACTTTCAGTTAGACTTCCAAATCCAAAAAGTAGTAGCAGGAAAGGAAGGAATACACCACTTCCTTTCACTTTACACTCTACGGCATCAACTCTGTTTTGGGAGACAGGGACTTGCTATGTATGTAATCCAAACTAGCCTTCCACTTGTGCCCTCCTCCCTGTCCCCAGAAGGCTAAGATTAAAGGTGTGTCCCAACAGAGTGCAAACTCTTTAAAGTCTATTCATTCCTAACTCTTCTGCAAACTATGACTAAAATTTAGAAGGAAATAAAATAGCATTTACACCTCTTCAGATCCCTAAGTAACTTTAAAGCATTCAAAAACTGGCAAAGAAACAGTAATAAAAGACATTACTCCCTTATTTCAAATAGAGTCCTAAGTAATGAAATTCAGGGAAAAAAGGTACTGTGAAATGATGTTAATCTGTTAGCATACTTGACAAATTATACCAGAGAGAAACGCTTCCTAAGCTTGGCATTATGGCACTTACCTATAATCCAAGCCCGGGACTAAGGCATAAGTGCCATGCTGGGCTGTGTGAGACCCTACCTCAAAACAACAAAATTCTATCAAACTTTCACTTTAGGTAAAACAAAACAACAGCAAGAATGATATCCTAGCTTGTTTTATTCATGAAATTAAATTTTAACAAGTATGATTTCATTACCATATGTGAATATGGATTTTAAAAGCCAAGCCCCGAAGTGGTGGTGGTTTGGGTTTTTGGAGACAGGTCTCTCTTCTCAGAGCTCTAGGTGTCCTTGAACCCACAGAAATCTGCCTATCTCTGCTTTCAGAGAGCTGGGACTAAAGGCATGCACTACTAAACCCAGGTCTAAAGAGGTAAGGTGCCAGGCAGTGGTGGTGCACGCTTTTAATCCCAGCACTTGGGAGGCAGAGGCAGGTGGATTTCTGAGTTCGAGGCCAGCCTGGTCTACAGAGTGAGTTCTACTGACAGCCAGGGTTACACAGAGAAACCCTGTCTGGAAAACAAACAAACAAACAAACAAACGAGGTAAGGTATAATTATTTGAGTTCTGTTGCTCTGTCTTCACCATCTGTATGTCTAGTCCTTGTCCAGATTCCAAACTTTCAACATCTAAAAGCTTGGAATCCATAGTGACAAGACTCTTGTTTAGGAATGCAGTGAATGACAGTTAATATCCTTAGGATGGAGACTGATTGTTATAGAAACAACAGCCAAAAGATGGTCAGAGCCCTGAAAGTTCTGGTCCCATTCCTACCCTTTTGGTAGGAGAGACACAAAGGTTGAATAGCTAAGCCAGAGGTGACCATTTAACCAACAGTGCCCACACAACGAAGCAACAAAACCCCAGCAGGACTGAATTCTGATGGCTCCAGAAACCAGAGGCTCAAAACCTGACAGGGCACAGACACTCACTCCTCAGTCCTCCCCTTCACCGCACTATGCCCTATACACCTACCTCTTCCTTCCGTCTATGTCCTTGGAATAAATGGACAAATAGACATTTCCCAGATTCTGTCTGCATTCTAGCAATGAAGGGACACAAAGAATGGGTCAGAAAACTTGACCAGAGGTGAAACACTCTGGACTGAATGGGGGTGGGGGGATAGGGACTCATACAGACACATACACCCCATCATTTTTCTTTATCATCACATTGTCTTATTGGCACCAAAGAGGAAGATCAGCTCTAATTTCTCATACATTCTGATCACTGATTAAATATACACTCATACAGAGACATATAGACAGCGTGCCCTTTGAGGTTTTAGGTTTTTAATATTAGATCTCTATCAATATTTTATAACTTTTATGTATTTCTGAGGACATTTCTGCATGAGTTCTACATTCAGCATTAGTTTATTTAGAACTGATTTATAAATATAAGGTAGAGGTCCAGCATGATTTTCCCCATATTACTTTTTTACATATATTAATACTTATAAGGATTTCTATGAACAATGTAACAATGTAATCAGAATAGCTACTCTTCAAATCCTAACTTACACTTAAAGTTTTTCCTGACTACTGATTAAAGAATCCTTCCATTTCTATGGACCACTCAGGGTTCTTCTGTGGAGGCCTCTTTACCTTCTGTCCATTTCTTACGGTTTGGACAAGTGTCCTTACAAAAGGCTATGTTGAGGACCTAGTCCCTGGCAGGTAGTGAGAGACAACTGGATCATTAGAGTTCTAATTCCAACAATGCGTTAACCCACGAATGAATTCTCTGCTAAATGGAAGGGATGGACCTAGCTGAAGGTAGCAGGCCACTTGCAGGGGTGGAGGTGGGAGTGGGGACAGTGAGCTTTTGAAAGGGATGCCTTTAAAGGGATAGCCTTTCTTGCTCCTTCCTGCCTCTTTGTGCTTCCTGTCTGCCATAAGACAAGCAACAACTTCCTCTGCCATGACCTTTGGTCACAATGCTCCGCTTCTCCACGGGCCCAGAACTCAATTAACCTAGTGTCATAGACTGAACCCTCTGAACCTAGGAGTCAAAACAGACCTTTCCTACTACAAGTTAATCTTAGGTATTCTGTCCCAACACAATGACTAATACGATATGGTGTTGGGAAGCTTTTCCTATTTGTGTACAATTAATAACAAATTATTTGTTGGTCATAAGTAATACCCAGGTTTACATCCAGTCTTTTGGTTTTTTAGATGCTGATTTATTATAAGGTTTTTAATCCTAAAGATTCAATTTATAATCTTTCTATAAATTGGTTATTCATGATTATTCAAAGAGGAAGGGAACCAGTAATTTTTCCATATTAAGTAAATATCACTAAATACTTCATATTTACTTCTATGAACCTCAATTCAATTCTACCAAGTTTCCACTATCCTTCTCTATTTCTGAGCTGTGTCGTTTCTATTTCTAGTCTATTTGTCCATCCCCATGGTTCCCCACCAGGATTAGATTCCTCGCTCCTTGGGAACGCTTGACAGTATCTACTGTCGGAACGGCAGTGACAACTGAAGTGTGTGTTACATAGACAGGTGTTACTGGCAGAAGGTACGTAGACGAGAAAAAGGCCAGCAATGGTACTTTGTAAATAGTGCCCCATTCCTAGGTTTATGCTGTTCTAAATGTCAACAGACCTACTGCTGAGGAGCCTCGGTCTCTTCCCCTGCCAGACATCACTACTGCTGCTTCATTCTGGCTTTCTCACACCACAGGGTTTCCCACACTTTTCCACTGAATGGATGATCTCATTCAAGATCAAAGAAAATTCTCAATTCTTTTACAGTGAAGAGATTCCCAACTAACACATTTAGAGTAAGTCTTAAATGTGCTGTTTTGTTATTTTCAATAGTGCTATAATCCTTGCTCATAATGTGGTAACCTCTAAGTCCTCACAACTAGAATTGTGAACCAAAAGGTATACAGTAAATGTCACTTGATGGCTAGAGATACAGCTCAGGTGGCAAGAATACTTTCCTACCTAGCACGTTTGCCAGCTGAGTTCAGTCCCTGACATCTTATAAAACCAGCTACAGAGGTACAACCTTATAATTTCATCAGTACTGAGGTAGAGCCAAGAGAATCAAAAGTTCAAGGTCATCTTCAATTTGGGGTCAGCACAGGCTACATGAGGCCCTACCTCAATCAATAATCAGTACCTGTGGATAAAGCCAATGGTTTATACAGAAGTAATGGCTTGCCAAATTATATAAATTTACCTATTTCAAATAGGTAAACACCTTTGCCAAATACTTTTAAATCGCACTTTGCATTTTCCACTGATCTAACAGATAAACTATTTCTTTCATTAACAATGAGGCTAGGAACTACTTTTCTTTACAAGCCACCTGAAGTTTATACTATGGAAGCATAAGCCTAAATTTAAGTCTAAAGAACTTAGAATTGGGCTGGAAAGATGGCTCAGTGGTTAAGAGCACTGACTGCTCTTCCAGAGGGCCTGAGTTCAATTCCCAGAAACCACATGGTGGCTCACAACCATCTGTAATGGAATCTGATGCTCTCTTCTGGTGTGTCTGAAAACAGCTATAGCGTACTCATCATGTATATAAAATAAGTAAATAAAATCTTTGAAAAAACACAACACTACTAAAGGATTTAGCATATGTGATATAAACATTTTCCCCTCAATTTGTCATTTGTAAAAGATTTTGAATAAAGAAGGTTTTTTATTTTTAAATACTCATTTTATTGTCCTTTGTAATTTCTCAGTTTTCCTTTACAGTTAGAGAATCCTTTGCCACTTCAATCAACTGCCACCATATGAGTAATGCTATTAAAACACGTTTCTATGCTTGCATCTTCTGTCTTTAAATTTACTAATTTGGCATTATGCTGTTGTGGGATGAGCTTCATTTACTATCTTAATACTACCGAAGAAATAGTTTTATGTTCCCAAACATTGTACATATTGCTTATGGTTTTCTTTGTATCACTAAAGGGAAAGGCTTTACTTTCTGACCTTTTAAAATCTCAAACTGGTCTGACATCAGATGAAAGTGCAGTTGTTGAACCATTCTGTAGTCAGAGGGAGAATGCTGCAGACACTAACACGTCCAATTACAATGGTTCAAAAGGTGCTGGGCAAGTCCTGAGGTACATGGCTTCAGCAATGCCAAGTCCCCAACTAGTCTCCACTCACGTCTTTCATGCACATACATGTTACTACTTTCATTTAAGGTGTCTTTAAGTCACAAAACTTTCTACAGTTTTTACTCTTACAAACAAAAAAAATTAGCACAACTATTCTACTACAATTTAGGGAATCTTTAGATGATGAATTTAGAGATCAATTTTTCTTGTAAAACCTGGCTCAATATTCTGAGATAAATTTTTTTCAAGTAAATATTTGGTGACTTCAAAAGGATGAAATATCTGTAACAAAGTATACTCTTAACTGAAGCATTAAAATATTTTTTGAGCCGGGCAGTGGTGGCGCACGCCTTTAATCCCAGCACTTGGGGGGCAGAGACAGGCAGATTTCTGAGTTCGAGGCCAGACTGGTCTACAGAGTGAGTTCCAGGACAGCCAGGGATACACAGAGAAACCCTGTCTCGAAAAACCAAAAAAAAAAAAAAAAAATTTTTTTTGAAAAGTGACCATATGAACAGCTAACACATGAAAAGTCAAATGCTTTAAAGGGTTTTTATCCTAACTCATTTATTGTGCTAAACTCCATGATAAAGATGTTGTGAACGTCTGAAAAAGAAGCTGCACCTTCAAAGGGAGACCTCTGCAAGGCTGAGTGACTGCAGCCTCACTGCTGGGAGAGGCTGGAATGCTGCAGGTCCAGAGCCTAATTACAATTTATCTTGGACTATCTTTAGCCCAAGTCATAGTGAGACCAGTGACTAACACAGAAACCTTTTGGAATATACTAACTTAAACCCTTAGTTCCCAACAGCCAGAGGTGTAGAGTACCATCAGACAGCATGCTGGGTCTACAGCAGGAACCTCGGCTTTGCTTTCATCCACCTACTTAACTTTATCAAACTGTTACCATGCTGGAACATGGGATTTGGGGTAACTTCAATCAGTGTTCGTGGGCCACAGTCACTCAGATTTGGTTTCTGAATAAGCTATCTTTTATCCCATCTGAGATGAGTTGTGTTTTTATGTTGATGATACCATCACTGTCCGTCTTTATAAAGGTAGGGAAAACAAAACCACAGACCCATTAAATGGATCACCAGCGGCTCTTACTGAAATTCTCAAATACAAAACTTCTGTGAGGAAATAAAGTACAAAGAGTGGGCAGGGGAAATAACTACTTTCTTAAATGTTTTTACTATAAATGACTTAACTAAAGAAAACTCCTTTCTTTGGATCTACCTAGTGTTGAGTACTCCAACAGGAAACGCATTAAACCCCCAGGCCCCCAAAAGTTGCCAGAATCTGCAGTTATTACGTCAGGCAGACATTGGAGGCAGTGGCTGTATGTACTATCTCTGAGATGACAACTTCCCTCACACAGCACTCCTTTACTACAGAGAATGGTGGGAGTGGCTTTAATAAAGAAAAGCAGAATGGCCAGCGTGTGTCCCCAGCACATTACTCGTAAGCCTTGTGCTTGCAGACTATTGCTCCCACTTTTTTTTTTTCTTGTTAACTTTAAGGTGAGCACTGCTGGTCAATACAGCACTCTGTACCGCGTTTCAACACTGAGGGAGAAAGAAAGTAAAGCATCCTTGGCATCAGAGGGGTCTTTAACGCTCTGGCAAACACCAGCTGTGCACCAAAAACCAAACACTTAATTCCTACAACCTCATTCCTTCACCTGTAAAGTAAGAATAACACTATCCACCTTTGAGGAGTGACTGACAGATTAGGAAAACCTGTGAAAATGCTTTATAGCAGACAAATGTAGACTGTTTACTGCTAAGAACAAAACTGCATCTTTATTGACACTCCCTTTCTGTGGGAATAAGGCAGCAGATGCTTGTACTTTTGAAGGTTTTGGTCAGGACCTCGCTACCAGCTACCCACCCACAACCCCACCATTTCAACGGCAAGAACCCACCTAACAAAATCTGCCAAGCGGTAATGATCAGAAGAAGGCCTCTTTAGATATGTTTATCACTCTGATGATGTAGTACAGAGAGAAACAGAAAGTGAAATATGAAATACTTTTAGTTCTCAATCCATATGAAATGAAGACTGATCTTCCTAGGTCTCTTGCATATGTCTCATCACCCTGAAGGCAAGTTTTTGTAGTCACATTCAACACCTTATCATTTACTCATAGAAAGAGTTTAGGGTTCGGTTTAAGTATAACCTTCCTCTCGGTGACTTTTGGAAATGGTTTCAAGGACTGACATTCAAAACTCTGTCTCATGGCTTGTGTGTCCATTGACCTCAAACACTTCACGAGCCGGTGGACTCCAAGCCACAGAAGTGACAACATACTCTGCATTGTGAAAAGGGGAAGGTGGGGGGCTCAAGCTTTGGCTCAAGTCCAAGGTCACGCACGGCGAGACCTGGACAGTTGTTTTTCCAGGGCTGTCGCATAGGACGCGGTAAGCCAGCAGTCATTCCCCAAGAGAAACAGGGAGACAGTCGCATGCTCACACAGCCGTGCTTTCTCCTTGCCCTATCCAGGTGCCAACTGAACAGGACCCAGACCCGCCAGCACCACTCCGCTGTCAACGCTGGCACGAGGACCACGAGTCCCCGCACCCCGCCAAAAGGCCCTTTTGAGGAATCAGACCGTGGTTCCCCAAGCCGCGTGCCACCAGTGCCCTGTCGTTCCCGTCCGCCGCGGGGCAGGGCACGCCTTGGCCCGCAGGCTAGCCCGCTGTCCTTACCGAGGAGCCGGAGAAAGATCTGAAGCCCGATGCAGAACCGGCTTTGGCTGGAATCGTAGTAGGAGTTGAAGATGGCGTCGATGATGTAGAGGCAGGGAACCCGGAGCGCCACTTCGAGCGCCGCCCAGACCTGCTGCTGGGCCATCCGCACCTGCTGCTGCGGGGGCCCCACCGCCGCCATGAGCCGCTGCCACACCGGGGCTGGGCGGGCCGGGCAGGGCGGCGCGGGGGAGGCCCGGGGCCGCGGCCGGGGCGGGCGCGGAGGAGAGTGGCTCCGCCCCCGCCCGCCTCCTGTCCTGTGTCCCGGCCCGCCCCGCCGCCCGCTCGCGTCCCTCGGTGGAGCAGGGGGCGGCGGCAGCGGCTCCCGGGAGGCCTCGGGGCGTCGGTGTTTCCGGCCGGCTAGGGTCTGGCTCCTCCTCCCTCCAGCGCCTCCCCCGCCTGCGGAGCCACCATCTTGACCCCGCCTGCCTCGGCCGTTGCTGCCGTTGCGAGGCCCCGAGGCTGCGCCCGCGGTCACCCGAGAACGCGGAGCCCGCGCCGCGGCTGCGTCACAATCCGGCGCGCCGCGTAGCGTCAGCGCGCGCAGCGAGCCTCGTGCGTTGCCATGGTCCCCGCCCGCTTCGGCGCGCCTCGCCGCAGGGTGGCGCTCGCGTCGCCTGGCCGCCGCGTCCCAGCTCCCGAGCGCCTCGGGGTGGCTGCCCCTCAGCGTTGGCGTGCTGCGAGCGTGGGCAGCTGGGCTCCTGCGCACCGACAGTGTTAGATGTCTAGTAGAGCCCAGTGAGCGTCCCGTGAACTTGCCTCATACCGCTTGAGAGATAAAAGGCCGGAGGACGCCGCCCTGCCTACCTGCCTCTCCCCACCCAGAGGCCAGGTCTGAGGAATGGCAGGGGAAATAACCTGCGAGGCTGCACAGGACGATCGCAGCCAGACTTGGCACTGGCCTTGAGTTGCCAGGCGTTGCCAAGAAAAGCACACTCGCATCTGTTTACACTTCTCCCTTCCTGTTCCTGTGGACGGTCATGAACACATTAATGGCTTAGGAGCCTGACTTAAGAGCAAGAACCCAGACCTCTCCGAGTTCTTTGATTTATCCTTGTCCCGGATAATCCTTAAAGTAGATGAGACCATTCTCCCCGTACCCACCCACCCGCACTTTCTTGCCTATCAGTGGAATTGGTTTGGCCTGGCTGTCGTTTCTCTGCTCCTTCTCCAGCAAATGGAGAGTGTAAGGTCAGAGGCTGAACTGTAGACTTAGCTGTTTTGGTTTAAGGAACACAAAAGAGCAAACCAGGAAGCCTGGTTGACACGGGCTCCTAGCTCAAAGCGCTGATGCCAGTGTACTGCAGGGCTCCAGAAGTAGGAACTCCCTCCCCATCCCACCCCACTCCCGCACAGGGAGGAGGTCTGTAAATAAAATTATCATACTGTAACAGAACACTTTTGGGTGAAGGTGTTTGTAGTAGAAAGATTGCACCTCCACCCAGTGCCTTTACTGCAGTTTTGTTTGGTGACCTTCCCCTCTTCCCTCTGTATACGAGGCACTGTGGACCACGGTTTTCTTTACCAAAGCCTCTCCATCCACTATTGCGATGGGTATTGATCTACCTGTTTTATCTAACTCAAGACCCCCGTTGTCTTGTCCTTTCTCTGTTTATTGTAATACCATCAGAGGGTTGCCTTTTCAGATCTACTCTGTAGTAACTCTGGGTAACTTTCCTAAACTGCATAGCTGGGGACTACCCTTGTGATTATGACAACATTCCCAAAGGAAAGCAACCTTAGTAAGAGAATGACACAATCTTACACAGGGAACCTCAGGGACTAAATTAGCTACTCAGCCCTCTCTTATCATGCCCTGACTGTAGTTCAAGTCAAAAGAGTGAAGCTATTACTGAGAAGAGGGTCCAGAAACACTAAAGTAAAAATGTGATAGCAAAGAGAGGGAGAATTGCATTATTATCATACAAAAATAGAGAATAAAAATATGATCTGGAAGTACAAGCTAATACGCATCTCTCTTGTCGGTTATGACCAGTGGTGCCTCTATTCACAGACACATAAAACAATATACACAGAATACCTGTGTTCAAAGATAACACTGTCATTAATGATTCAAAAGCCTTTTGTCTGTCATTAATCATTCAAACGTCTGTTAGTAGCTTGCTTTTTTAAAACAAAACAAAAATAATCAGAGTCTCTGTGTAGCTCAGGCTACGGTGGACCTGGCTTTGTAGATGAGGCTGGCCTCAAACCCTTTCTATACATCCACCTGCGTTAGCCTCCTAAGTTCTGGAACTAAAGGTACTTTAAAAGTAGGATGCATAAAACGTACATTAGAGGCTGGAGAGGTGGCTCAGCGGTTAAGAGCACTGACTGCTCTTCCAATTACCACCAGCCGCATGGTGACTCACAACCATCTGTAATGGGATCTGACGCCCTCTTCTGGTGTGTCTGAAGACAGCTACAACGTACTCATAAACATTAAATAGATAAATAAATCTTAAAAAAAAAAAGAATAAACTTACATTAGCTTTTCTCGGGCTATCCATCAGTCAAGCCATGTCAACCAAAGAAAAAAAATAAAGACTCTGGGCTGTAAAAAGGAAGTTTGCTAGTGTACCCTGGCTTCCTTAGGTGCCGCGAGCAATCAGGAACAAGTACTTGAGCCTCCTCCCTCCCCCGTCCCTTCCAACAAGGTCTTTTTCTATTTCCTTCCAATGGATGATGCCAATTTCAGAAGAAGAGTGAGAACTGATAGTTACAATATGTACTATAACTTCTACACCCTTGGAAATTGCTTTAAAATGATAGTCTCTAGATTGTTTTTTTGGTTTCTCTCTTTTGTTTAAAGTAAAATTCAGATGCCCATTGAAATGCAAGTATTGACATTTTCTGGGTTTGTAAGTCCAAACAGTCTTTTTGTAGTTAACAAAGGAAACACCTGGGGTCACAGTGGCAGACCGATCTCCGTGAGTTTCAGGCCAGTTGGGGCTACATAGTGAGACCCTATGTTAACAAATTAAAATAATTTATAGGCTGGAGTGTGTGTGTGTGTGTGTGTGTGTGTGTGTGTGTGTGTGTGTGTGTGTGTTAGAGCACTTCCTTAGCATGTGCTAGGGAGTGATTACCACCACCACAAAAATATTGAAAATAAATAATGTTGTAAATGTTGAGTCTCCATTTCCTGACATTGGGTTGTTCCTCCAGTAGGCATTTGCTGAGCACTTGGTATGTGCTTCACCATTTGCCGGCCTCTTCTGTGTCTGGGTAGTTTACCTTTCTAATTCTCAGCATGCTCATCTGAAAGACAGAAGAACATGAAGATGAGAAATGAAAATGTTACATACCACCCCCTGCCTTCCCAGACAGGGTTTCTCTGTGTAGCCCTGGCTGTCCTGGAACTCACTCTGTAGACCAGGCCTCAAACTCAAAGATTCTCCTGCCTCTGTCTCTGGAGTGCTGGGATTAAAGGCATGCACCACCACCTAACTTTATGTTTTACTTTTACAAAAAAAAAAAAAAAAAATTAAACAAGCTGAGTGCGGTGGCACATGCCACCCTTAGGAGGCAGACCGATCTCCATGAGTTTCAGGCCAGTTGGGACTACATAGTGAGACCCTGTGTTAACAAACTAAAACAATTTATAGACTGGAGAGAGAGAGAGAGAGAGAGAGAGAGAGAGAGAGAGAGAGAGAGAG